CTTAATGAAACTGTTTCATGTATTTCTCTAAAATTAATGAAACTGTTTCATGTATTTCTCTAAAATTAAAATAATGAAGATGATAATATCTATGATTCACCCTTCACAATAAAAATGATTAATCAATCTCTCATAATTATAAAAAAATGAACAAAATGAAAAATTGTGATTGGTTGAATGAAGTTTGCACGATTTGTACAAATTGAATGGTTTCCATTTGATCGTTCCCCTATATAGATATATATATATATATATATATATATATCAGAGAAAGGCTAAATCGGTAATAACATGTGAATGGAGAAGGTCTAATTGGGCTATAAAATTAGTTATGATAGTGTTATGTCATTTCAGTTAAATTTCAATTGTTTAAATCTAGTCCATGTAATAAGACAAAATCGATATCATACATTGTCGTGATGATCCAAGAAGACGGGCACATGCCCATAAGAAGGTCGATGAATATGTGTCGTTCGGTGCCTGAAAGTAAGTCCATTTGTCATACTGCAAACAATTCTTCATGTCGCAGAGAAGATATATTTGTTATTTATTACAAAAATGTATTATTAGTAAAAAATTAAAAAAAAAATCCCGTTTATTTAAGTAACATATTTTAGTTTATAAAAAAAAATTAGATGAAGTGTTTGTTCCTGAACGACATAAGTGGAAAACTTAAAATACGCTCTTATTTTACCTAAACTTACAATAATACATCATCCAAACTATTTAATTAGGTAAAAGAAATTGAGAGTAAATTACACATCTAGTCATTGTGGTTATATAAAATCACGAATTATGTCTCTTATCCTAATTTTTTTATGGAGTAAAAGAGTATTCATGCAATGCAGCAAGACATATCTCGATTTTAATTTTCTATTTTATTATTTTTTCTTTGTCGATATTATAATACGATTTTATGTGTTTTTAAAAAAGCAATAATGATTTTATCTTTTAATAAAATATAAATTTGAAGATTCATAAAAATTTGAAAAAAAAAATATATCAATGTTAATATCAAATCAAGTATTTAAAAGTTCTATTCTTTATGTAATTTCTTTAATTAATTTTTTTATTATAATTTAATTTAAGTTTAATAACGAAATAATTTTTTTTTGTTTTAATAATATAACATTTTTATAAAGATTATAATTAAGTCTTCTGTTAGAACTCAATGATTATCCTAATTATATTTTAGATTTTTTATATTTAAAATGAGATGTTTATCTTGTATTTGATTATGCTTATCTGCAGTTAGTTACACGAATTCAGATATGGAGCTTTAATAAGTCGTACTTACGCGCAATCTACTTGCAATCTTGAGTTTTAAGTAATATGCATTAATAAACAATACTTTACGCATAAAAAAATGATTTTTAAGAATTTTTATCAAATGCTTTATAATATAGTATAGATAACAGGAATTTTGTTTCGGTAAACCCCATGTTCCCCCATCTTCGACCCCAGCCCACAATCTCCAACGACATCAGAATTCATAAAAAACGGAGGAATTCGAGATAAAGGCCAAATTCATGACTTGAATAGAAATACAAATCGAGGAACCAAGTGTTTTGTTCGAATCGTGCACACCAACATTAGAACACAGATCTATGTAATATATCTGAGAAATTGAATAGATAAGGGAACCATTATGCGAATCAAATAGAAACGAAAACCTTCAATATTTGAATACGTACTCCTAATCTACCGAATTCGTAACCTACCTCGACCTTAAATCAGTGTGCCTTTCTGGATCGATCTTGTCTTTCAGGATATACATCGTCTTTCGTAGTCTATCAGATATGTATGGCCATTGTCGATACTTGAACCATAAACCACATCGAAGTTCAAACGAGAAATCGAGGGAAGAGAGATCTAGCGTTCCGTCATGGTCTAGATTGAGATTTCGTCATTCGAAAAGAGCATCGATAAAATGACTAAAATACCCCTCATGTAAGGAGTATATAGGGATTTAACAGAACAAAATTAAAGACAGTTAGGACAAGGGATTTGATCCGTAACTGAAAACCTTGTGGATATAATCCATAAAAAAAATAGTACAAGGGACGTAATTTGTAAATTTCATATAACTACAGGGACTAAATTTATAAATTACCATAAAATAAAATTTGGATATTATCCACGTTTGACCCTCTAAAGTCCAATAGAGTAATGAGTATAAATAGAAAGCGTGAAGATATAGATGGTTTAGAAGAAACGAAAGTCCTCAAACGTCTCAAAATCGTTTCCCCTCTCATCTCTCTCCTCCGTCCCACGTCGGTGCCGTTTGCCGTCGCATTACGGCGGCGAGGATTCGTTGATACAATCGGATTCTATACCAGCAGCTGTGGAAAAGAAGTTGCGTATCTGTCATCGGAAGTACTCCAGCTTTGCAAAATTTATCCAGTTTCACGAACAACCAGTGAAAAACATTAGGTAACTTTTACTTTGTTTTGTATCTGTTCGAGGTTTTACTTTAGAAGTTCTATGCACTTCATGGTTATTGACGACTTTTTAAAATTTAGATTGATTTTTGTGGTGTTTGGCTAATTTCTAGGTTTAATTTATCCATTTCTGTTGTTTTATCTAATGAATTTGTGTTGAGCAAATCGATTATCTGTAGTTATCGTTATTGTCAATAACTTTATTAATTGATTTATCGTTTTGTCTACAGTTTGGAACTAGGATTCTAAGCTTGTAAGCGTAGTTTGGAAAACTTGTTGAAAACTTAAAATGTGATTCCTTCAATGAAAGGATTTTTTCTATGTAAAATATGCTTTTCGTCACACAGGGATTTGCCAAATTATAGTACATGCGATTACAAACGAATATTTTGCCAAAAAATAGAACTAAAATTGTGATTCCAGACCCTCAAAATGTGTCAAGGAACTGGCCTGAATCTTGCTAATTTCATTGTTTTACTTGTTCATATTCTATGCTCTTATTGCTGAAATGTTGTTTGATATCTGTAAGATAAAATAAAGCTGCAACTTTCACGCCTATGACGCCAGTCACTCAGCCAGTAAAGAAATTAGCAGTTTCATGCTGGGGCCAGGGTATGCATGACATGTGCTACTTTCAAAAGTACATGTACTATTTTGTGTTATAAGCTTGTGTGTTTCTATTTCTGTTTCTGTTCTGGTTTATTGTTGTAACAAACCAACGGCCATGAAAATTTTCGTTTTCCGCTTATAATTTCAGTACAAACAGTTTATCAGAGCATCTATTTCTGTGATTAAGTTGAATTTTGATTGAGATCTTGACTTACAGTGTGGCACATAGTACTTGTAAGTTTGTTTTTCTGTGTTTTATTTGTTGGTATCATTGTTTAAAGCTGATCAGTAATGATTTTTCTACTTAGTCCGACTCTTTTCCCACTGAGAGTTAGAGGACAGACGAAAAAACTTGCATCTGTTGCTTTTGTGTTGTTTAGATGGGAACAACATACTTGAGATTTTGATTTCAGTTCTAATAGTTAGACTGGATGTATATTAATATATGTCTATGATGAGAAGAGGAGAGCAAGAAGATGATGAAAAGAGTTAACATCCATTTTTAAGGCCAAAATGACGGTACTATTGGTTACTGAATGATATATGGAGGCTTCTGTTGTACCATTTAACTGTTAGAAGTATTAGATTATCAAGGTTTTTTTGTTTTAAAGTAATATCTTATGGTTATTGGTTTTGCATTTGAACCACAACTTCTTGTAGCATTACATTCGTCGATGCCTGTCTATCACCTTGATGTCTCCGAATGTATTTAACTGTTTATCATCATTATTATTATTATCATTATTTATATAACTTGGTATATTTTGCCTGTTGGGGTTGTGGATTTTGGCACTAATGCTCTGTCCAGTGTCTTTGACAGGTTTACAAGATGATTGGATCCTTTCTTACCAGAGGGCTCGTGTATGTGAACTAAAACTTGTTTCTTCAATTATGGAGAATCATAACTGGATTTCTCTAACAAGGGAGCTGCTTAATTGCATGCAGAATGGTGTTCGGCTATGCATATCCAGCTTATGAGTGTTTCAAATCAGTGGAGAAGAACAAGCCTGATATTGAACAACTTCGTTTTTGGTGCCAATACTGGTACGATACATTTTATGTGTGTCATGACAATCTATTCACAAGCTTGGTCTGCTTGGATCTCAAACTGGATAATGATGTTTTCAGGATCTTAGTTGCTGTATTGACTGTTTGCGAGCGGATTGGTGACACTTTTGTTTCATGGTAATACCATAACCCGTGGCACCTTCTGATATACTATTAGCATTTTTTCCTTTTTACATTCGAGTTCTTGTTTGTTTTACTTGTGAAGGGTCCCAATGTACAGTGAAGCAAAGCTAGCGTTTTACATATACTTGTGGTACCCCAGAACAAAGGTAATGTTTATCTGTTCTATGTGTAGGTCTGAATATATTTTTCATTCTTAATCTTCTCAAACAATGTTTATCTTATTTGTTTTTCTTCAATCATTTCAGGGTACAACTTATGTTTACGATTCCTTCTTCAGACCATACATATCAAAGCATGAAACTGACATTGATCGTAACTTGATGGAACTGAGGACCAGGGCTGGAGATATTGTAGTTTTGTATTGGCAAAGAGCTGCGAGTTATGGTCAAACAAGAGTTTTTGATGTTCTTCAGTACATTGCTTCACAATCAACCCCGAAACCACGCACATCTCAGGTATGACTCGTTGGGTATATTTGAGTTTCCTGCTTCTCATATCCAATTCTGATTATCAAGTTATCATGAAGTTCATGATTGCTGTACGTTAATACTTTCCAAGGGAATAGAGGTTCCTTCACATTCTCTTCTCTACTGCTAAATATAATTGCTTTAAAGTATCTCCATTTGGTTGGAGAGAATGCAGTTTGCGTTTTGTTATTTTGCCTTTTAGAATAGAGTTGGGTGAATCTGTCTAGTGTTGGAAGAAAGTTTATGAGATGACTGCTGTGGTGTTTATGCAAATTCCACATTCTCTGGCATTGTTAATGCTGAGAAATGGCATGTAGTATTTTGATCAGTGGTGGAGGTAGGATTCTTTTTAAGTGTTGGTCTACCTTGGACTAGTTTTTTATTATAATGGGAAAATATACTATACATTGTCCATTATTATTTACAAAGTAAGACCCAAATAACCAGAAAATCACTAATGAACGAGAATAGAATAAAATTAAACTAAAACAAGCCCAGTATGCCCCAACCAGTGGTGGGGTGAGGGTGGAGGCAGACTTGACCTCCACCGGTCCACCCTAAAGAGCGACTGTTCTGGTGGAGACCCCCAGCTTGTGCAAAGTGTGAAAATTTGCATGAGTAGAAAATTCACATATTCGTATGCTCTTTCTGAACCAGTCACGGCTTTTAGAGTTGGTATTCCAAAGAAATGGAGCTAAAATTCACATGGCAGCACTAGCGAGTCAATCCTATTCACTTTGGTTTAGGGTCTTACAACTACAAAGAGATGCACTTATACAAGGACAATGGGCCAAAACTTGCCATATGGGCCTGGCCTCTTAACTGATTATCCCTGGACTACCGCAAGTGTCATGGCAAACGAACATCTGGCAGTACTAGACTCCATACTTGACATATTCTGCGTTAGTAGCTTTTTTCTTATTCATATTGGTACAAACAATAAAATCTTTTTACGTATTCTGGCACTATTAGTGGCCGTTTACTAAACACTTACTTGGTAAGTACTTACCGGATAAATTTCCTCATTGGATGAACATGAAAAGGGTCAAGAATCTTACCGGGTAAGAGCGATGAGAATGATGGAGAGTCTTACCCGGTAAGTGAGGATGACGACTCTTACCTAGGTAAGCGCTTACCCTAAATTGTTGCAATCGATATGTTTTAATATACTAAAATCTTACGCATCAAAATAAATCATAGTGTTGACTTCTATTGGTAAGCGCTTACCGGGTAAGCAATTGGGTAAACGGCCTTAGTGCCTCTTGCACTATCTGATTGGATTGAACCCTTGGTTTCATTTGCATTATAAATTTGGAAGTTAAAACCCTTTTTAGAGTGTTACAATTTGGTTTGATTTATTTTGTACTACTTAGGTGAGACTCCACCTCTGGGTGGGATATATTGGATTCATTTGGTTTGGTTGAGGTGTGACACTGGGAAGTACTTGGACATGAAGGACTAGGGTAGCAGCAGACTAAGGCATGTTTGGCAACCATAAGCTAGCTTACTTTTTTAAGCTTATTGAACAAGCCCCGTTTGAATTATTGAAAGTTTGAAACACGACCTTATCGAAACGCTACCTGGTTCTAGGAGCTTTCTGCCACGTTCTTCCAATTATACCCTTGATTATTATTATTGTCATTAATTACTTTTAATTCTTACTTGATATTAATTATTAATTATTTTTGAATTATTATTAATCACATTAACTATTTTCATATTATTATTAGTATTAATTAATATAATTGTAAATTATTATTTAACATTAATGTACCTACTCGTTACTCTTCTCACTAGATTTGTGATTACTATGTGTGTTAGTCATCGTACCGCATCTAAACCCTACTTTCAAATGAGATGTACTCCGGTCTATTTGGTCTTTGGGTGTGATACTGAATTTTTAACTTGAAACTACACAGCCACCTCAAACGGGTAGAGCTCGTCAGCCTGCACCAAACCGGCGAGCACCACCTGCTGCTGTACAGCAGACCAAGGAACCACCAACTCCCGCTTCTAGCTCCTCCTCGTCCTCCTCATCATCGTCGGATTCAGCTTCTCCTCAAATAGACGACACAGAATCAGAGGGCGTACCACCTACTCCAACTTCTCCGGCTACCGCCTTGAAAGCACAAAAAACAACCCCAACACACAGCCTAGCGGTGACTGCAAAAGCTCAAAGCTCCAACGAAGCAGAGATGATGGAAACCGAACCGTCAACTTCATCAAACCCTATTCCATCACCTAAAGAAACGATTATAGAGGAGGTGGTTCGGGTCTACACACGAGGTAGGTCGAGGAAAAATAGTGCGGCATCGGTTCAATAATATGTATGCTTGTATTTGGATTAGTTTGGTAAATGTGAGTATTTAGGATTGATGGTTGTAACATGTTTTGTGTATTTCTTGCTTTTAAAACCGTCTTCTTTTCATAAGGATTATCACAATGGCTAAAGAAAAGCCACCATCCCTCGTCTATTTTTCCTTTTTGCATTTCTTTTTAATTACATGCTCAAAACATAATTTATATAGGGTGTTGGTAAATGCATGGTTGGTTCACGTGACACCAGGTTGTTTTTGTGAGACCCGTGAGACCATCTTTTTACACTTGAAACAACATTGTGAAGGTAAAAAAATATGAATTTTCACAGCAAAAACATTGTGAAGGTTACATTTACAATGTTTTGATGTGAAGTTTCAAGTGTAAAAAAGTAGTGTCATGAGTTTAACGAAAACAGGTTGGTTTTACGTGATTCCAAATCGATAAATGCATAACCTATTTACATAAAAATATTAGGTCAATAAATACGTTAAAAACATGAAAATGATTACTTGATGTTGATAAGTAGGTGGGTATTTAGTTTACCCCATGTAATATAATATAACAATGGGACAAAATGAAACTTATAATTTTTTTTTGCTTATTTAAATGTAAATATGAAATTAATAATTTGTTTATTTGAATAAATGATTTAGAAAAATGAATTCATAATTTGGCATTTTATTTAGGAAAAAAAGGGAAGATTTATTTACTTTAGTTTTAAATTGGTCTTAGGGTTTGTCGATTTCTACCAACAATCTTAGAACTGATCTTAGGTCTTATAAATAGGTCGGACCAATTTTTATCAAAAATATATTAAATAAATATATTTTTAATCATGATTTTTGAAATTTAGCGTTATATACTTTAAATAATACATTTACTTGAAAACATAGTAAAAAAAACTGAAAAGCTTATAAAAACTCTTGTTATATTGTAATTTATAAAAATTAAAGATCGTTCATATGCATTACCAGTTCCTAACCGGGCTTTGAAATTTTGTAAAACTTGTAGCTGGTTCTGAACCATCAAGCCATAACCATACCAAATCCAATTAGAGATGGCCAGATTGGGTATACAGTATACTTCTACCCGATACTGGTAGTAGGCGGTTATACTTTTTATGAAAACTCAAGGCCGGTTATACATAGGTCTGAATATTTAAAAAAAAAAAATTAAGTTCACATAAAATCATATAACAAGTTTTTCAAGTCTTTTACCAAAAACTTCCGGTTCTTTTTAAAGTTTTTTCTAGCGTTTCACGTTTTTAAAACTTTCAAGATTTTATCTACTTAAATGTAATATTGAAGTGTATTTTTAATAGTAAATTTAATAAACTATAATTTAAAAAAATATGTATAACATTTGTGTAAAAGGATTCAAAAAAATATTTGAAATGTATCGGAATGACCCAATTAAAGATTTTAAAGTGTATTTGAATAACATATTGTTGAAAAAAAAATCTTCAAACAAGATTCTATTTATTCAAAATTTATTTATTCTCTTTAAATTTGGGCCTGGTCCAGGATAACTCTTTGTACATGGAGAACGGACCAACCGTTTTTGGTCGAGATTAGAAGCGTTTGGACCAGATACCAATGGAAAACCTTGGACCGAAAGTTATTTGGGTCTTGCACATCACGAGACCGCGTTTGGCTATCTATGGTTCCAGTCGATCTCAGATCGAGTCGAAACCAATTTAACAATCTCTGTGTACATATACGGTAGTGTTGAATTTTATATATTATTATGCTAAAACAAGTTAAGTACACATCGATAAATGTTAGTCTGGATAATTATCGGTTTTTATATTTTGTTTTTAAACATGCATCTATTAATCAAATATGAAATTATAAAAGAATTAAATAAGGAGTATTTTGGACAATTATCACTTTTTTATCCTCTTTTCAATGATGTATTCATTAATCATAAAATCATTAAGAAATTGAAATGCATTTATAATAATTGATTAATAAAAATGTAATTCAATTATTTTTATAATTTTTTAAAATAAATAATGAAATCCAGTTCCATTTCAAATCCTATAAACCAAACATACAAATTGTTTTAAACTCATTCCAATCACGCAAATCAAACAGACAACATAGGTGTACTAAAACAAACATTTTGTTAAACTTAACCACAAGAGTGGTGCCTGATTGGTTTGAGTTTGGCTTCAAAGATCAAAAGTACCAGGAGGTTTTAAGTTCAAATCCAAGGAGAAATAAAAATCTTCTTGTGGTCATGGATGTTCAAATGCGGTGACTCCAGGCTATCTGTAAAGCAAGTGGTCGTCCTGGGATTAGTCGGCTCACATAGCGAGTTGAATATCCAGGTTAATAAAAAAAAATATTTGTTAGACTGCTTGACCTTTTAATAAAATATTAAAAAAAATGTTTTTCTAAAATAACAAACCAATTCTTTTTTCATGCATAAGTATCAAAAGTAAATGTCTATTTTTTTAATTTACTTTTAATTATTAGATGAGGAAAAAATTTATCTATATAATTGAGAGTAAAAATCTTCATTTATTATTTAAAACCTGTATTAATTATACATTTCTAAAACGGTTGTTTTTTCATTGTGAATATTTATTTTAAAATGAGGAGGTGATTTTTTTTTATTTTTAGTTCCAAACATTTTCCAATTGATTTAAAACTAATTTAATCGCTCTATAACATGTTTTTTCTTTGAATTAACACATATTTTATATAAACTTGATTTACCACATTATTTTTTTGAAATAAATCATGAGTAAACGAACATATTTTATATTTTTGTACTCCAAACGAGTCTCTAAAGAGATTGTTTGTTTTTTTGTTCTATCTATAATAACAATGTTGTAATTGCTACAATTGAAAGTACATAGAAAAAGCATAGTTTATTAAAGTCAATCATTCTTAACCATTACTTAAAAATTAAGCTAAAAACAAACATTGCTTAATGATATTCAACTTGCTATACGAGCTGACTAATCTCAAGGCCACCACCTGCTTTGCAGATAGCCCGAAGTCACCGCATTTGAATCTCCGTGGCCATAAGAGGATTTTTATTCCTCCTCACTTATACGTAATTTAAACATTGGGAAACTGACCAAACTAATTATTTTGAACAACATTCTTCACTTTTCAGTCATCTTTCTTTCAATTTAACCAAAATAACCAAGTTTTTACAAGCACCCATCTCACAATTTGCATAATGTACCTTTTTGAAGTAAATATGATTATGGTAGAGTCAGCTTTAGCATGACAGCTTACGAAATTTCCTCAGTAACTTATAATATGATACATCATAATCACATTTTATTCATACAAAAATACATATCACAAGTTGTGCGAAATAGACATCATGCCTGATCTTGTCTATTTTAATTCAAACATAAAAAGAAGTTGGCTAAAAAGTGAAAATGTTCGTTCTAGTGTGTTCAAATCCCTTAAATACACAACTATACAATAACAGATTCAAACAAGACATAAATTATTTTAAAAAGTCAAAATTATTTATCTAAACTGCTACTAAAACAGCTATTACCAAAAAGTAATGCATAATGTATCCCTTAAAACAAGGATGATACCAATCAATGTTAAACTTTTGATCAATTTTATTTTGCTAAATAATCTATCTATTTATATATATATATCTAACCATATATCATATATTTTGATACAAGGTTACAACATTTGGTTGTTAAACACCCATACTTTTTTTCTACTTTTAACAACTTTTATTTTATCAGGAAAAACAAATAATATTTCCTTCTATAAAAATACTAATTAGTTCTAAAATGTTATGGTAAATTCATACCCCATAATTCGGTAGCGCTGACCTCCGGATTTGACCCGAACCAATAATCGTGAGCAATCTGCGACCAACAATGCCATAACTTCAATCATAGATATTGAAAGGGCAAAATGCTTCAAGATGCAATAAAGTTTAGTTTAGTTCTTATTTAGTGTAACAAATAATGTTTTTTTTTTCTCAATCAGTATAACAAAATTTTCAAAAGTCCCTATTTTGTACCCATTTTGACCGGTAACCTGCTTGCGAAAATATATTGGACCCCGTTAGATTACTCTCCAAAAGAGTCGTTGAGAAAAAAGGGGGATTCTGACATATATTATTAGAAAGATATGATCTATGTCTAAGCAGATACGGGACCATGTAAAAGTATATGGAACCTCATTAGATTACTATTCAAAGGAGGCGTGAAGGTTCCAACATATATTAACGAGAAATGGTCAAAGTCTAGCAGATATGGAACTTCAACACTGCTATATTGTAACATCTTATGGCATGGATACCAGTTTACGAAACTGTTAAAGTGAAATGGATGATAAACTTGACATCAATATCATGAAATGTTAGAAGATCAGCAGATTACTAGTCAGAATGGTTAAAGGATGGAACTTACATCATTCTGTGATGGAATTATCTTCTGAATTCCATGCGATCCGGAGTCAACTGAGCTGACTAAATCTAAATGTGTTTGTTGGTGTGGCGAGAAATCAGTGTCATGGTTGACGTAGTTGCCACCTTCTCGAGCTGATTCATTCAATGAATTTGTCGGCTCCTCAGATTCGCTAAAACAAAACATGCACGCAGATGCAGTGAACAGGAGAAATGGAAAACAACCAGAAATTGCAATACATTCGTACATTATGAAATAAGAATCCATTATTTCTACGTTTCATAATGTCGGATTTCAGATATTAGCTTCAAGACATATTCGATATTCCTAAATTAACATTCTGTTGGGTAGAATAGCCAACAAGATATGAATCAGATATTTGAGACCTTAGAAGGGCTGTGGTAGAGCAAAGGCTCAAATAGGCCTATACAGGGCTTAGTACAATCATATCCTAAAGGGCTCTAAAGCAACAAACCACAAGTAGGCCTAACAACCCGCTATTTAGCTAAATAACCTCTTGACAAGTCTTTTTTAAATCCATGACCTTCTGACAGGTTTCTATGCATTCTTGTGTATGGAAGGGGATTTTTAGATATATAACCTTATATGAGATTTTAATTAAATCCATGACCTTCTCATAAGTATAAAGCCATTTTTTCTTTAATAGGCCGAACGGTCATGGATTAAATTGAAAACCCATTTAAGGGTCATATCCCTAAATGACCCGTATGGAAGTGGCATTAATCTGTTAACTAGTGACATTCTCAAACCTGTTTGAAGTTTAAGGATCTAAAAAAAAAACTGTCAGAAAGTTGTCGTGGATCCAATTTGGAGGGACACTTAACTTACATGCACATATACTCCCTTTGATTCCATCAACTGGTATCAAAGAGTCAAAACCTGGTTATGTTTCAAGTCGACTTGAATCCAACTTGGAGTGGCAAAATTTGAAGTCATCATCTTCCTTTTTCTTAAAGATAGCAAAAAGAGTTGTTACTCGTTATGTTGATTTGTCTTTAACCAAGGTTAAAATTGCTTCAAATCCTAGATAAATTGTAAAGCAAACTATTTTTCTACTAAAGTGAACAAAGATATTGCAAAAGAATCCATCTTAGTAAAGTTGAAGTTCTGAAGCATTGCAACACCGATAAGTAGAGAAACAAAAAAAGAAGACAGACAATACAGTTTGTTTGAAAGGGCAGCGCAAACATACTAATAACTTACAATTGCATGGCATTAAGGATGCATTTGGTATGCAGGAAAGGATGGAACAAAACAAAACAAAAAATTGTTGTCCCATGTTTGGAACGACATTAGACTGTGACAGAACATGACTAAGTGGGACAAAAATGCATTTTTTTGGGTTAGGTGGAACAACAATCAAGGAGATTGGTAAATTACTAAACTACCCACGTCAATTTAAAACCCTAAAACATCTAGAATTCTTTCACGGTTTCACCTGCCTAACTCACTCTCATCCGTCCAGTCCTGTCTTTTCGAGTATGGTCCACATACCAAACACAACCTAAGCGTCATGAGAAATGAAGTACCTTACGAGATAAAGATCAATTGGGCCTGTATGGCTTCTAACAATAAGTTTAAACTGCTTCTGAGAAAAACCACTATCCTGCACAGTCAATATTATCATATCAAAATAAAATCGCTGCAAAGAAAACAAAATCTCTGTTGCATCCGCACTACTCACCTGATCAGGGTCAGGAACTTCAATAGAACTAGCATGTGGCGCTCTTATCGCGATTAGAGTCTGATTCTGCCATCAAAAAGGAAAAATAACTTTATTACAGGTATGTAACATAAAAGATGGAACATGTCTGAAATCTTCGGAACCAGTCATTAAACCTTGAAACAAGGAAGATTCCTAAAATCTTGTTCTGTTAAGTAAAGGTACCTGAAAGAAACCAAGCAAAATGTCAGCCACGACCATATCGAGTTACTAACTTATCAAACCAAGTGATTGGTTTGTTTTTCAGGAAGAAACAAAAGCACAACACCATGCTAGAATGAGTGATTTTGGACAAATGGTGAAAATGTGAACACAAAATAAAACACCATTCTTGTCACTCTTTCTCTGAAATCCTTCATTCTTGCAATGTGTAGTTTTTTTTTTCTTTTTTTTGCAGCAAACAATCAAGTACAATGGTCCAAAAACTTAATAATCCTAATTCCAACCATATTGTATCACAAGGTTTATTATATGTGAAGAACAACATAAAGATGAAATTGGACATACTTTTGACTATTATGATCAAATTTCACAGAGTTCAGGCGCTCTTTTGTTTCCCTGGATTGATGATCAAATGTTAGATTGAGATTGTGAACAGCTTCAACTAATCTAAATATTGCAGCCAACCAAACCTTATGCATTCGTCAATCCTGGACTCTTCGGCATGTAGATGTTCAAGCTCAGTCTGTCATGAAAATGAGGCGAGAATTAGTGATTGGATGTTTCAAAAAGCCTTTCATAGCTGTCTTGTTTTTAATGTATAAACCTTATGTATCCCATCTATAAGTATACTCCTTCCATCCCAAAATAAGTATCCACTTTCAAAAGTAAGTGCCTACTTTCCTATTTTACCCTTAATTTGAGATAGAGAAATTCATTACTCCATTTATAAAGGGTAAAATTGTCATTTAATTGAATAAAAAGTGTAATAATTACATATTTAGAAAACTGTGAGCCTTTTTCCATTTTGGACATTTATATTGGGATGGAGCGAGTAACATATTTGCCCAACTACTTTAAAAACACACCCCGTTACAGAAACAAGTTTATTTTGTCTTATTGAAGATGAAGTCCATTGTAGCATCTTATACATACCTTTAATTTTTTAGAGTAATTAACCACGGTTCGTGGTGACAATGTCTTATTTCCCCTGTTAATGACAGGTCCATGTGTTAGTAAATGAACATATGCACGGAAAAACAAAACAGAAGGACCAACAACTTACTTCCACCGTATGTGATTCTTTGTAGCCTTTTCTACTAGTCCAATACCTTCAAGAACATTGGTAATATCATAAATTCTCCTCTTCTGGACCTGCACAATAAGTAAAAAGTAAATAATACTCATGATTAATAGGAAATAATCTGACTTCCAAACAAGGTATATATACGGCTAAAAATCTATTAGCAGGAGTTGATGTGCTTAAACTGTCATTAAGGCTATGTTTGGCAAACTGGCTGATAAGCTAGTTGTTAGCTCATAAAACTAGTCATTTTAGGTAAAAACTAGCTGATAACTAAAAAGACAAAGAAAAATTAATTAGAAAAATTTAAGTGGCATAATTGGAAAACAAAATCCCCTTGAGCTTATTGAAACAGTAGCTTATGGCTGCCAAACATGGCCTAATTCTTATTTTCTGCAGTATGTTTTTCTCCCTTGGATACTCAAAAACTTGATGGCAACATTTTAGAATCCCCCCCCCCCCCTCTTAAACTAAGGAGTTACAATGTCTAGTAGATCATACTTCTAACAAAACTGCAGCCTTGTTTAGATCAAGAATGCCATCCTTATCTGCCTGTATCAAGCTAACAAACTTCTTTGTGAGGAGTCCTGTCAACAATAAAATAAAATGAAGTTTTTCACTAATAATCCTGACAAATAGCTGAAAAAAGATCAAAGCTGAAAGCCACGTTACACTAGCATATAATCAAGAATTATAACCACCACATTTAGAGTATTCATTCGTGTCAACTCACCAAGAGAATTGTCATAGCGACAAGCAGTAGCTAGATTTAGATTGAGATCACCAAAATCTGAAATAAAGGGCAACTATCAGTTAAGCTAAATTTGTTAATTAAAATTTCAGCAAACTAACATATGTAGTTGCAAACAAAAAGAGTTAAACAGTATCACCAGCGTTTGGTTCTGGATTTCCAGCTTTAGAATGTATAGAGGACCTAGAGGCCTTTGATTTCCTGTTTCTCTTGCCAACACCACAAGGCAGTGGTCCAAATGAAGGATCATCCACTTGTTCAACTTTGATGCCTCCATGGACAATAGGACTTGCACCATCTACATCCTCACACTTGACGGTTTGTGTTGCCTGTTTCAAAAGGTAGAAGAAATGAAATCACCATATGGACTTCCAGTAGTGATAATAAGAATAATGGTGTTGATTATTACATTTTGTAGAAAATACTGCCAAAAATAACAATCTCTACAGAGAGGAAGAAGAAAAAAGGATTCAAGGACAAATAGAAACAGTTTCAATTATTTCCACCAATCTCATATCTAATTTCTTACCCACCTACATTCCCCATCAAGTTCACTCCTTTCTTAAAGAAAGATCCATTTCCCACTTTGAGATACAACTCATAAATACCAAAAACAGTAAAAAGAAGCGAAGACCTATTTGATAGCTACAGCACCATTGTACAAGACAATTGAAGTTTTCAAGACTATATTAGTATTTGGGTGTGTCTCTAAAGAGGGTAAGGTACCTTGGCCTCCATGTTCTATTCTCAGAGAACACTCACAACATGGACTGGCGGCTATAGTATAGAAGACACAAAATAAACTTCTATGAAGAAAGTTCCTATCACACAACCACCCAGACATAAGTTTTGCCTTATACGGCTGTGAACAAATACATTTCCTAAAGGGAGTGTAGTTGTAAACTATTAATGTAACTAAAGCGAACTCTGACACACATAAGATATACGAGTTCTAAAATATTAGGGAGTAATAACCAGCGCCCAATCATTACAAACTTTCTTACAGAGGCAAGCATAAAGGTAAATTAATACACATTTTCCCTTCCTCTCATAAGCTGTATTGAATTGAACAACTTTTCCTAATTTTCCTTCCAAATTTGTTACTATAATTGCTGCCATTTAGAAAAAAGGAAACAAAATGTGGAATCTCATGCAGGACAGAGAAAGCCATGACTAAGAATTTTTCCCTGTAAATTAATACTCCCTTCATCTTGAAGAGCACACCATATTTGAGTTCCAATATCAGCAGAGTTGCCTTTTTAACTTTAAGAAATGAGTACTACAATAAGCTATACCATGTATGATGATAACTAAACATTATGAAACGACAAACTAGAAACATCCTTGTAAATTTCAAACCTGGGAGTATAATGTTCAAGTATCCAAAATCACAAGCACACTCCCTTTTCCTTCTATTTGCCACATTTGGTATAACAACTGTCTTCTTGCTACCATTTTCATGGACTATTTGTGTCCATGGTGTTCAAATGAAAATTTGGCATATAAAGTTTCCAGTATTTCATCATCGAATATGAGGAAGATTCCTTTGTAATCGTTATCTCAAATTGGCAGATAAACATGTTGCCATAAACATGAGACTTTATCCAATGAAGGAATCAAAACATGGATATAAGTAGAAAAGAAATACAACAGAATTTAATTGCTTTGGCTTACATTTGTTTCCTAGATGGGCTGATACTGCTGGTATTCTTCGCATGATTCTAGGTTCTTATAATGCAATAGGTCTGATACGGATATTAACTATCACGTAGTTTCTGCAAGGATACCCACCTCCTTACAGCTAGGCTAAAGCCGCGATGACAACTACCACGTAGTGCTGCTCAGATGATACATTACCACATTAAATATCAAGACATGATATGGAACTATCAGCTCCCAAGCATGCAAAGTCTGTAAAGTTCTGTAGACTGTCAAATGCATGTTACCATACAACTTTTAGGTTTGTGGCATTGAACGTCTCCTAGGTGGTAATACTTTGGAGGTCATGCCGTCAAGGATTCAAATGCCCATTCCCTATTCAGAAAGACCATCAGAAATGTATCTTGTTCGTAACTGCATATTATATTGATGCAGACAGATGATCAATTTATGCATACCGAGTCCCAGAGCTTCTGTGACTAATATTTTCTTATGTGGCCTTCTAAAGAGCGTCGTTTTTCCTGAGAACATGTTGTCTATGTTTCCAATGGCTAGGTGCCATTTAAGGTGAACAGAACTTTGCCATAGCTGCTGTGGTGACTGTCTTGAGAGTTGAGACAGGGACATGGGAACAAGAGCATTGGCTCTAATAGCATGCTAACATAAGTATATTTATTGTATCCAGATGTTTGGATATCTTTAATTTTGAGCTTCATATTTATTTATTAATTCTTTTGATTTCATTTTGTGGTATAAGGAGGCATCCATGGCATCTGGAAAATATTTTAGATTATTTTCCTAACTTAAGATCTGGAATTTTTTGAATTAATTTCTCTCTCTCTCTCCAGCCATAAGGCATAAATTTTACTCTATATTCTCTCCCTATTTATCCAAAATCTTGTCCGTCTTATATCCCTTCATATCTGTGGTCCAGAACTCAGAATACAACCAATGTTGCATGGCGCACGCCCCACCACACCCTGGAACAACAGTATGGAGATTCAACAAGGTTAAAATCACCCATGCTTCCTAGGACTGGCAATCTTCAATTCCATGATTCATTTGCTTTATCTTGCAATCAAGATATAATTAAAGCAACTAAGCAATGTTTGATTTTAGCATTTACATACATTTTTCATCATATTAGGCTAGAAAAGGCCAAAAAGGTGTTCCTATTGGCTATTGCTAAGGGAATCCCTGGTCATATAATACAACAAACTGGCCCATGGGCCTAAACACAAAAAGACAACAAAACCCTAATTCTAATAAGTTTACTTCTCCGATTAATGGCTGTAGGCACAGTAGACTACATGAAAACCTACCATAAAGGTTGAGAAAATGCAAAGTTACACACGATGATAAACACTTGAAGAGAATATTCATATTCATATTCATATGAAATCATATGCTTGAAGCTTTTCGTGGAGGAGGAAAGAGGTGCTATTCTTTAACCTCAAAGGTCAAACATATAATTTTTTCTTAATCTTCAAAAAACACAGCACAAGCATGGAAGCATGTTTCCACGATGAATGCAATTTAAAGTGAAGAGCGAGCAAATATCTGAAGCCGAACAATACAATGAAAACATGCAAGCCAAACAAAAATCAGAAGAGAAAAACAAAACACAACGTTGAACATGAAAACCGTATAAAATTTGAAATTCATTCATCGGTTCAATAAGCAATCCGAAAAACAATCAATCTGTATTCAATTCGAGTAGAAACACACAACCTGGATACATAAAATTTCATACATAATAAGCACAACCGATGCTCCAAATCATGAAAGCAACGAAAGAAAAGAATCACCGTGAAGTATTTCAAACGTATATCTAAGCAACCGCCACATAAAATGCACATATAGAGAGAAGGAACTCGTAATAAAAACAAATCAACTCACTGAATTGAAGAATACAGGCAAGTTTTGATTAGAAATAGAAGGATTGCATAAACCAATCTGCTGATGCGGGTGCTGATGTTGTACGTGCATTCTGGATAGGGCTTTTTGAAGTGACAAGTTGACATCATCACCGCCGACGGCCACCGACATTGACATCGCCACCAACCAGCACCAGCAACAGAAGCAGCGCCCTGCTATTTTGATGCGTGTTGTCTGTGGATATAATATAGTAGAGAAAGAGACAGAAGCAGAAACAAAAATGGTGATGATGAAGCAGCGGGAAGCAGGCCAGAGGCGGGAGCGTTGGTGTTCGAAATGCAGGATTCTATTTCTTCCTAAACCCACGCTCCCCCTTCCGCCATATTGGGCCCGGCCCCATTGATACGGTACGGATACATAAAAGTAATAAAATGAATTCAACTTTCCCATTTTTCATCGGGAAAAGTTTAAAAAAACTCAATAGACTTTAGTGTTTGTAATGATTAAGTCTTTGAATAATTTTTTGAAACAAATAAGTTCTTGAACATTTCAAAACATGTTAAATAACTTCTTGAACTTTTTAAAACTGGTTAGATACATACTTATGACCTATATAACTGGTTAATGTGGTAAAATAGTGGACAAAGTCCAAAAAAAACCCAATAAACATTCATATTTTGAACGATTAAATTCCTAAACATTTTTTGAACCAAAAAAATAGATCTATAAAATTAAACAAATATAACAAAAAAGTACTTATATTTAAAAAAAATTACATATAAAAAATATTTTTGATAAAATTTATTTTAACTAAAATAAAAAAAATATTTTGTCACTGATTTTTCAAACTAAAAAAATTAAAAAGAATTACTGATTAAATTTATTTTAATTAAAAATAAGATATATGATGTA